CATGACAAATAAAAATAAGGATGGCAGTCATATTTTTCACATTGCTTGTGCGAATTCTAAATCAGAAATGTGCCAATATATTATCCAAAATTATCCAGACATGCTTGATCAGATAAATGATAATGGGTGGAATGTCACATTATTCGCCGCAAAAGAAGGAAATGTTGAAATTTTAGAACTTCTAGAGCAAAATGGTGTCGACCTGACATATAAAAATGAGAATGGCAGTAATATTCTTCACATTGCTTGTATGCAATCTAAATTTGAAATGTGCCAATATATCATCCAACATTATCCAGACATGCTTCACCAGGTAGATTATAATGGATGGAATGTCGCATTATATGCCGCGCAAGGAGGGAATGTTGAAGTGTTACAGCATCTAGCACAAAAAGGTGTCGACATGACATATAAAAATAAGGATAGCTGTAATATTCTCCATATTGCTTGTGCGAATTCTAAGTCAGAAATGTGCCAATATATCATCAAACATTATCCAGACATGCTTGATCAGATAAATGATGATGGATTGAATGTCGCATTATACGCTGCAAAAGGAGGAAATGTTGAAATCTTAGAACTTCTAAAGCAAAAACACGTCGACATGACATATAAAAATAAGGATGGCTGTAATATTCTTCACATTGCTTGTGCGAATTCTAAGTTAGAAATGTGCCAACATATCATCGAACATTATCCAGACATTCTTAATCAGGTAAATGATGATGGATGGAATGCTGCATTACATGCCATACAAGGAGGGAATGTTGAAATTTTAGAACTCCTGGCGCAAAAAGGCGCTGACATGACGTATAAAAATAAGGATGGCAGTAATATTCTTCACATAGCCTGTGCTAATGCTAAGTCAGAAATGTGCCAATATATCATTCAACATTATCCAGACATGCTTAATCAGGTAAATTATATTGAGTGGAATGCCGTATTATTCGCTGCATATGGAGGGAATGTTGAAGTGTTACAGCTTCTGGCACTAAAAGGCGTCGACATGACATACACAAATAAGAATGGCAATAATATTCTTCACATAGCCTGTGCTAATGCCAAGTCAGAAATGTGCCAATATATCATTCAACATTATCCAGATATGCTTAAGCAGGTGGATAATGATGGATTGAATGCTGCATTATATGCTGCACAAGGAGGAAATGTTGAAATTCTAGAACTTCTTACAAAAAAAGGCGTCGACTTGACATGTAAAACCAAGGATGGCGGTAATATTCTTCACATTGCTTGTGTAAATTCTCGATTAGAAATGTGCCAACATATCATGCAACATTACCCAGATATGCTTAAGCAGGTGGATAATAATGGATGGAATGCTGCATATTACGCCGCACAAGGAGAAAATGTTGAAATTTTAAAACTTATGGCAGAAAAAGGCGTCGACATGACATATAAAAACAAGCATGGTTCAAATATTCTTCACATTGCTTGTGGTTTTTCTCGATTAGAAATGTGCCAACATATCATCCAGCATTATCCAGATATGCTTAAACAGGTGGATATTAGTGGATGGAATGCCGCATTATACGCTGCAAAAGGAGGAAATGTCAAAATACTAGAATTTCTGGCGAAAAAAGGCGTCGACATGACACAGAAAACCAAGGATGGCAGTAATATTCTTCACATTGCTTGTGTTAGTTCTCGAATAGAAATGTGCAAACATATCATCCAACATTACCCAGATATGCTTAATCATATAAATAATTATGGATGGAATGCCGCATTATACGCTGCACGAGGAGGAAATGTTGAAATTATAGAATTTCTGGCGGAAAAAGGCGTCGACATGACACAGAAAACCAAGGATGGCAATAATATTCTTCACATTGCTTGTGTTAGTTCTCGAATAGAAATGTGCAAACATATCATCCAACATTACCCAGATATGCTTAATCATATAAATAATTATGGATGGAATGCCGCATTATACGCTGCAAAAGGAGGAAATGTTGAAATTATAGAATTTCTGGCGGAAAAAGGCGTCGACATGACACAGAAAACCAAGGATGGCAGTAATATTCTTCACATTGCTTGTGTTAGTTCTCGAATAGAAATGTGCAAACATATCATCCAACATTACCCAGATATGCGTAATCATATAAATAATTATGGATGGAATGCCGCATTATACGCTGCAAAAGGAGGAAATGTTGAAATTATAGTATTTCTGGCGGTAAAAGGCGTCGACATGACATATAAAACCAAGGATGGCGGTAATATTCTTCACATTGCGTGTGTTAATTCTCGATTAGATTTGTGCCAGTATATTATCCAGCATTATCCAGATATGCTTAAACAGGTAAATAATAATGGATGGAATGCTGCATTATATGCTGCACAAGGGGGAAATATTAAAATTCTAGAACTTCTTGCAGAACAAGGCGTCAACATGACACAGAAAAACAAGCACGGCCATAATATGCTTGATATTGCCCATAAGAATTCTAACTCAGAAATGTGCCAATATATCATTCAACATTATCCAGGAATGCGTAATAAGGTAGATGATAGAGAATGCTGTATTAATTAGTGGCCTTACACGAAAGAAATGATAAAAGTGTAGAACGCCTCGAAGGAAAGGACGTTGAACTGACACAATGAGCAGACATTGAGCAGAAAGAGATCTTCACACGTTATCTCCATTTATACGTACCCACTTGACGGACCTATCTCTACGTGGGATTCGAACCCGCGACCAAAGGATCAACTGCTTACTCTGCGACTCTAGAACATACACTCTAACCTTTCTACATTACTCGGCGATTAATGTGTGAAATAATGTCTTCTCTATTTCCTACAAGGAGGATTCTTAGAAGGAGGAGTTCAATTGAATATTTTAATTTTTGGAAGAAGAGGTGTCAACTTGACATATTTTAGTGCTAAAATTAAACATTTGACAGTGTACTTTTGTGTAAGTGTGTGAGGGTGAGGGTTGAAGTGTGTATGTTTGTGTGTATGCTAATTCTAGAGCCTAAGAAATCCCACAAGGAATTATTTCAAAAAGAATGTCTTTAGTAATGCTATTTCAATGCAGGATTTACATATCAAATTTGAAGTTTTAAGTATATACTTTGCCAATGTGTTTCATTCGGAAGATATCTTTTTAGACTAATATGTTTATTTATAGTTAAAGTAAAATCATTTACGAGTTCTTATGCTTATTTGTTTGAAAAAATTATAAAATTAATTCACAATTTACCATTGCATTTTATTAATTACATACATATGATTTTAAACTTTTTCATAACTTCTAGAAATTACACCTATAACCACTTGCACTTATACGTTTTGCTCTATCAGTGATTTTCAAAAGATGTCGCCTTAACTGACATTAGCCAGAAATTCGTACGTCTTTTTGCTAGCTGCAGAACAGTAGCTCTACGAAAAATATTTTGACAGACTGGAGAGCTACAGTGCCACCCATTGAAAAAACTGTATATTTATTGCGCACAAAAAGTGCGCTTTTTCTCTGTTTATTTCTCCATGTTTATAAAATGCCATCTCAAAATATTACGAACTGTGTGTTCCTAACATATTATTTCACGTTTTTCACAACAGAACATCTTTTATAATTGTTTTAATAGCCCTCCTGGTCCTGAAATTGAGATCATTGAATTTTTTTGTTTATTTATACTGCCATTTTGGTTTGAAAGATAATTCTGTCCAACGAACTTCGTGTAGAGGTCATTTACGAAAGGACTTTATAGAGGAGGAAGAATTTTTTTAGATTCTTTTTCGCGATTAAGCTTATAATTTGGAAGAATTAATCCAGAACTTAGTGCGACTTTTTGTGCGAAATAAATATACAGTCTTTAGTTTTTACCATGGGCGGCACTGTAGCTCTCCGGTCTGTCAATATATTTTTTTCGGAAAGCTACACCTCTGCAGCTATCTTTTAGCTTAATCTATAGTATTTTTTCTGGTTTATAAATATCCTCATTCATAATATTACTGTCGATGTAATATTGTTAAATTCCTCAATATTGGGTATTATGGTTTTTTTTTGGAAAATCTACAATCGCTGTGTTTAATTCCTATATTGCAATTCAGTTTCGAGTTGGATTTCATTTAATTCATCGGAACAAATTAAGAAAATTGAAACATACATTTCTATGAATATATTCATTGGATCATTTTGAATTAGTTTTTGAAACAAAATTTATTCTTAGCAAAATTTTCATGGCATCCCCATTCTTTTTTCCCCCTTAGCATATTCTCTTACTGTTGGTTTAGTATAGAATTATTTATTGTTGATGTAGAAGCTTTAATTGGATCTCCCATGTTAAAAGAATATACATCCAGTCAAAAATGGGTTATGTTTTTATCTTTAACTTTAAACAGTTGTCTTTTTATTCGGAGAATTTTTTGGCTTGTCTACACGATTTAAAACGGTTCACCGCGGGCTGGCTATTGGCGTACATCAGTGTGATTAACTATGGATTAAAATTAAATTATGGTATCTGTTCAGAAAAAAGAAGCGCTTATCAGAATGGTAATACTATAAGTGCATAGATATCTCGCTCTCTCTCTCTCTCTCTCTCCTCTCTCTCTCAGAAAAAATGTACATGTGTATGGAATATACTTTTTAATAAAGACTTCTTAACATGATGTCAAAATTAAGCATTTGTAAACTAATATCAAATACATGCAGTCATGCATAGACACCGTTTTAATCGCTGTTCCTAGCAATTGCGTGTCCAATGTCGCGTATATCAACATCAAGTTAAATACTTAAAGGCAGAGATTTAAGCACCGCCTCCAAAAATACCTGGTCTGGGTAGCCCTGTCAATCTAGTGTGTGAAGGTCGATTATTGGATGTTGGAACTTGATTGACAGTGACTTACTGGTCCCTGTGTATACCCTGTACACCTTGTTTGGGACTCGTGGTGACCTTCTAATTAACTTTTGATCCTTTGATGTTTACTGAACATGGTATACAGAATTACTGTATTACATGTATTATGAAATTTTTAGATTGCTAATATATGCATTAAATATACCTTTAGTATTTGAAAGGAAAATAATATAATATGTATTTAAAAAAAAAAATAACCTTTGGTACATAAAACTTTTTTTCCAATGAAATTTAGATATCATTTTTAATATGCTAAATGGTAAACCTAAAGTGGAAATGTTATTGATAGTTCGGAGCAGCACTGTGTGAAGTAATTAGATTTAAAAAATAATGTTTCTAATCATGGGTCACTTACTTTTTCCTTTTTTATTCAGATGAGAATTTATATGCAATTATTTTTAGCATATTTCGTGGTGATTAAGCCTTATTAAGGTTAAGATAGACCTATACAGTGCAGATATTTTTTTGTGAAATGTACAGTTGTTCACACAGCTCTCTTTTCATTTAATAATTAAAAGATCCAGGGGATTAATGAATTAAATTTAAGTCTAATTTGGTTGTTACAAGAGTTGTTTTCTTTAAATTAACACATACAATGATATCTAAAACAATCTTTGTTTTAATTTTTGAATTTACAGTATGATATAATATTTTTTTTAATGGGTAGGTGTGTTTTCAAATAGTAAAAAATTATTAAGGTCTTCCGTCTTTACGGAAGACCTTATAGTTATTGTACTGTTTCTTATTAAGGTCTTCCGTCTTCACGGAAGACCTTATAGTTATTGTACTGTTTCTTATTAAGGTCTTCCGTCTTCACGGAAGACCTTATAGTGATTCTATTGTTTCTTATTATTATTATTCTTATTTTTTTGACTTTCCAATTTTGTGCACGCGATTTCTCGAAGACTACTGGATAAAATTACATGAAATTTACAGGACAGATGCGTTGTTACATGAATTTATTATATCCGAGGGAAAATTTGAAAACTCACTTCCGGTGCCAAGTTACGGACAATTTTCTGAAATTAAAATGACATTTTGTCCACGATTAAACTCAAAAACGGTAAAAGATATCAATATGAAACTTTCAGGGATTATAGATCGTGATATGTATTACCCAGGACGCGACTTTATGTTCGTCGTCGGTACTTCCTGCCGTTAGGAGAAGCGAATTGAAAATATCATATTTTCTAACTTTTTTGTTTTTCAATATTTTTTATTCATTTTTGGAATAATAATAGAGACCCTTCTATTGATGCTCTCTATATAAGTTGTTTGAATATTGGTTAATCTGAACTCTAGACATTAATATTTGAAAATCTGAAGCGGGTCCAAGATGGCGTCTGCCTCTGTCAACTCCGCCATTTCGCGAGTAGGGGTTATGAAGGCAGCTGAGAGTTTGATTAAACCATTCTGACATAAGGATAGATGAAATGTAAAAAACTACTTGGACTTTCACGTAGTAGTACGTTGTAATTACGTGTAAATCTTAAAACTTAATTTCCGTTTCACTGCTTTAGTTTAACTGGGCTAGATACGATATGTAATGTGTACAATGTGTTAAATATACCTTCTTAACGTCGAAATAAAATAAAAGCGATAAGAACGTTTTATTTATTTAATTTCATTGAAGCTATCACACCTATTTAATAGATCAGTCCAAGGAAAAAGCGCGAATATTTACTCGTGGCTTTTGGCGCGAAATTATCAATAGTGGTCTGCCTTTTATAATTCTTAGACCTGTGTACTGTTGCAAAAGTATACACAAGTATATTTAGAGCAGTGCTCCCAATAGCGTAATGGTTTGCGCGTTAATAGATCACGTAGTAATTACATTACAATTCTGTGTCAAACTAAAGATTTATTCCAGGGTCTTCTCAAACGTCTTCTGTAACTGGTTTTGGTTGGTTCTCAAAGTAGAAAAAGAAAAAGACTAAATGTGCAAATGAGAGATACCTATTATCATTTGTTTTGCAAGACGGAAAAACAGATCTTAAATCATAGATATAAGTTATAAGAAACAATATCGATGCATGTATATAGTAAGTATAAAACGTATAACCACTGTTTTTCCCATGCACACTTGTGTGATATTAAACGAATAGAAAAGACAAAAATAAGAAAACCATTTTAATAAGATCGTCTAATGGAGTTTATATTAACATTCTTTTCTCAAAGATCTGAATCAAGTTATTGAACATAAATGGTATCTGATTCCTTGACTGTCGTAGAGCAAGGCATGTTTTTCAGCGAAACATTTCAACCTTTTTATGAAAGTGTAACTAATCGGCATAGTTCACTTCTGAGACGGGAAATAAAAAAAATTAAATTATAGTCATTTCACTGCTTTTGTGTTACTTTTCTATAGAATGTGTACAATGTGTTAAATATATTTTTCTAAACCTCGAAATGTAGGCTTTGAGAACGTTCTTTTTTCTTAATTTCATTGAAGCTATCACACCTATTTAATAGATCAGTCCAAAGAAAAGGCGCGAAGATTTAACGTGGCGTTTGGCGCGAAATTATGAATAATGGCCCGTCTTTTATAATTCTTAGACAGGTGTACTGTAGCAAAAGTATACACAAGTACATTTAGAGCAGTACTCCCAATAGCGTAATGGTTAGCGCGTTGGGGATAAAAGGGGGAAAAAGCAGATTGGATTTTCACGCTGGC